AAAGTTATATTTTTGACGCAGTTGTGAATACATCAAGTCTTGTTATTTCATGTGTATATTATGCACGTGAAATAATACAGCCTCTTATACAGCGTCTGGTATACGAATATTAGACTTGCATGAAATAAATATCATTTAAATAAAAAATTTTTAAGTTGCATGACTTGTTGATTAATTTTTAAATTCCTCATGTATTGAATGTGAATGAATTTCCGATGATGTAAATAAGAGAAGATACGCCGAGAAGGAATCAGATGATGACCTTACTCTACTGTATCAAAAATATCTCTCTTACTGTATCAAAAATATTCTTAATCATCTTGATTTTCTTGAAGCAACCTTTACCTTGCGTTCTAACATTCCGATTGAATTTCGTAGTTTTAAAAAAACATCTGCGCGCGAAGATATATTCCAAATTTATGAAACATTATTCTGAACATCTGCGTCTTGCGAAAAAAATCATGCTAAAATTTTTTTTTATTTTATAATCATTTGTAACATTTGTTACTGAATTCCGTATTGTAAGATTTAATTAATAGATGAAAATGATTTCCCAATAATAAATGCATATAAAAGCAATAGTGCTCAATAAAATGCGATAAGTAGAAATTAATAAAGATAGCTATGTTTCTATTATATAAATTAAAAGCGATAATATATAATAAAAATTCTAAATAGAATCTTTTATGAAAATACAATAAGAAAAATAAAAAAAGAACTTTGATTTATATTTACTTTGAAATAAATTTTGCATCAGGTTCACGAATATCTAGAGCAGTTATCTTGTACCGTGTGATAATATAAAAATAATTCATATCTAAAAATAATTATAGAAAGCAGATCATGATTTTTGCAGAACAATACAGACCAATAAGTGTTGAATAAGTATGAATGTTATATATTCATTGATTCATAATTATGATAAATTCTGACTATTATTTCCTTTCATAATTCTTGACACGATAATATTAATTGCTCTTAGTATACTCGATTGCTCTTAGTATAATAGATTTTAATATTTAAAGTTATATATTTAAAAGTTATATATTTAAAGTTATATATTTAAAGTTTCCGATTTGTTTTAAAGATTAAAGTGTGACTTTTTTTACAAATTGGTGTTTTTACAAACTGTTTAAATATTTTTAGATATTAGAGAGAAGAAAATACACAATATAGTTGTTTTTCGAAATATGAATATTTTAGATAGCAATTACTGATACCTTTATTAAACTATTAATGAACATTAATTTATGCTGCATTATAAGCGGCTACACTCTTTTATTGATTAATCGAATATATCGCATAAGTAATAGCTCTTGTGGATTTTTATTGGTTTTTCGTGATTTTTTGTGATTTACCGCAATTTATCAGCAATGAAAATATTCGCACGTGTAAACGCGTGTTGCGTACGCATGCGTGGCTAAATCTGCGCGGGAAACACTCTCGGTAGCTAAAAATCGGTAGGAAAAAATTCCACATAGCTACGGGATATGGATCACTCTTTTTACACGCTTTCCTTTATATTTGCACGCACTCTCTATCAAACAGCTGATCCCAGCTAATTTCTTTGTCTCTTTCTCTTAATAAAATAAAACGCGATTGACATAAAGACGGAGACACGTTACCTATCTATCTTTCCGAAATCACTGTCATCGGCTGCAGAGAGGTCCCGATGTGCCGAAAGGAAAAAGAGAGTCGAAGAGAAGCGAGATGCAGCACTCTCGGCCGCACGCGTGCGTGTGCGTAGTCGCGTGCAAACGCGCGTACTAAAGTGTCGCGCGTTCCGGTTTCGAACGGCGCGACTTTACGTCGGTCAGTGATAACGATGGGATGTCAGATTGGCCCATTTTGGAGTGGAAGTGTCGCGATGCCTCCAGCATCAGCGAAAGAGATAAATTTCTTTTTTCTCATTCCTCTTGTTTTCTCGATGTTCCACGATGTTTCTTCAAAAACTTTGCCCGATAAGCATCGAAATTAATCAAAGATTATGAGATTACAATCTTTAAAGAGACTTCTCGATTAATAATTATTTCTCAGTTAGTCGAAAAAGTCAATCAAAAATAGACGCAACATCGTAGTCTATTTTTATTTTTGATTACAATGAACTATTCAATTGATTGCTTTATGTAAATTATGATATACAGCATGTGAATTAATTTCGGCAAAATATTGGATTATTAATAATATATTATTTTTTTATTCGCGAGTAAACGTGTTTTGATAAAACACTCTGGAACTTTATCTGATGATCTATTTCGAAATTGTTGATAATTATAACTCGATCGCACATTGTATTTTTTATACATAAGATAATTTTTAAATATCACTCATCGCAATGAAACGTTGAACATTCAAATTCGTATCTGTCTCGTCGCGACAGTTGAAATGACGCAACGATCGTAGAAAGTTTCGGTGCTAAAAATTCGGGGTCGACCATCATTTGGGAGTAAATGGTTATTTATACATTTAAAGTGAATTTAACGACTCATTGTCCTAAATTTCTGCAGTCATTTTATGCATCGATATATTCTCGAGATGAGATCATACGAAAATTAAAATGATCGTAATCGTTAACAGCATTGTCAACATTTTTTATGAACAGATATTAAATAAAATTGACAAAATACAAAAATGAATTCAATATTGTAGACGTACAATGTAATTTTTATTTTTAAAAGAATATTATACAGGATATATATATTATAGAAAAATATTACATAAGTATCTGCCATAATCGTACAGTGTGAATGAAATAGATCGCAAATAGGGTACTCAAAAATTCAAATGACTGCATCTATTTATTATGTATTCTCAATAATATCGTTTGCTGATTATGCGAATACATTAAGCAAATTTTAATTAAATTTGTTGATGTTTCACAGCGCAACGCAACACACTTATTTGTTGCTCAGTTTATATTAAGGAAACATTACGTGATAAAATATGATTTATTAGAATAATACATTAAAGTATATAATTAATTTTTTACATTTTAAATAAAAAAAATATATATAATAAAAATATATAAATAAAACTGAGAGAAACATTATGTTATATAACAATGATGACTTCTATCATTTTTATATCGCTTATGAGAGACAAATCTTGATGTTGTAAAATAACAAAAATTCAAACGCTATTCTCTATCGCTTACTATCACTTTTTTTTTCATTCCGTGGTTTTATTAAAAAATATTATACATAGTTCGTATCTTCAATGTCAAGTTTACGTGTTTTATATTTCAGATTTATATTATGTGATAACACACACACATACACAAGTATATATGTAAGTATTCGTACGAGTGCAAGCTTATTATAGACAAACATGCCTCTCGAATTCGATCAAGTGTGCATTATGCATGATTAAATAAAACCTCTAATGTACCGAGACAATCCAAGCAATGTACATGTATTTCTATTCTTTCTTATTCTTTCATTATATTCTTTTTATGCAAAATTTAACCTTAACTGCGCATGCCAAACGTGCATCGAGCTATATGCACTTTTAGAAATCGCATTACGATCAAATCAACGTATCGCATGATTGAGTCGTTCATTCGTCACTATAGACAGAATTTACCGTGTCGAACAAATGCGACAAACATGATTAATAGTTTTCGATCGTTCTTATCTCCTCTTTAACTGCAAAGCGAAGAGACCAAACAAAGTGTTGTGAGAACTACATAAAATTAGTCTGTATAATATATAAAATAAAATATAAAATTTCCGAAAGTATATCTTTTTCATATGTATGTAAAATTGAAGGATTTGATTTTCGCGTAAAGAATTTTTATATGCTATAAGATAAAATATGGAGAAAAAGGTAAAATTAAAATTGGAAATTAAAAATCGTATCAAGTAATTAAAGCATCAAAAGTCATCCGGAGCATCGGTGTCACACATCTATGGCGTAAGTGCCGTTGATCGACAATTACGATAAGGATTCTGGAGGCGACTGGCCGATAACCCGTTTCCCAGAGCAGGAGATTGTCGCTGAATGCACAACTCGTTTTTGAAGTTTCCAAGCGCACTGGTAAGTGGCATGGCGCGACACGTGACGTAACGCACGACACGATTACGAACCTGGGTGAGCAACGACTGGATGAAAAGTTTCCCGATCCTCCATCTCGAGCACAATCGAGATCCATAAAGATTTGCATCGTCACCTCGCATCACGATCATCGGCAAATAATTCAGTTGGAATCGCGAGGACAGCTGGGCAAGCTCAGATACGCGAGAAAGCTGTTACAGGGCGGTTCGAACACATGTGTGGCACGAGATCGTAAAAGTATGCACTGTTGTCGATTTGGCGCGGCATGTGAACGTGACTTTCTATGATCAATTAATTAATCATGATTTTGATCGGCGTTAGTTGGCAAAATTGGCCAGATTTTTTTGCTTTTTCGAGAAAACAAATATTTTGATGACTTTATGCATTCTATGAAGGTAAAAGAGAAAATGTGAAAAGCACATACATTATTTTAATAGCATAATAGCTATCATATAGCATATACATTTTTTTAATTAACCATAAATGATTAAAAGTATCCAGAAATTAAAAAATATATTATTTCAGATCAATTAAGAGCAATTATACATAAACGAAAAATTGAATGACCAACAGAATCCTTCTTTTATTTGTAAAATTTAATTGATTAGTAAAGAAAATTTTTAAAGAATTATCATTATATATAAATTTCTTATATAAATTTCTTACATAACTTACTAAAGAAAATTAAAATATTTTAAATTATTCAAAAAGTTATATAAGCTCGTTGAATTTCTTTTCAATTTCTAATTCCTTTTTTAATAGTAAATATAGTATTTTTCTGTATTTTTATGTATTTTTCTTCTACAGCAAAATATTAAGATTTTCAAAAATAAAATCTTTGTAGCAGTTTCTAGGTTAGAGAATGCAAATAAATTAATTGTAGAGCATGTATAATATACATTATTTTATTGCGGCAATATAATTTATTGCAATTTATTCTTACTTACCGCTTTATTCTGCCAGACGATTGTAAACTCGCACCGCGATCTTCTCTCTACCACACAGGCAGACAAAGCAAACGCGTCTCTTCTTGAAGATGCTTTCACGATTCTTCAACAAGAGCGCTTTGTTTGTCTCTGTCTCGGACAAGTCAATCCGCGACACCCCGGTGGTCCACATGCGCGAGTGATTTAATCAGCTGTGCTAAAATGAATCGACTCGCGGACAAAATAAGTCCTTATCGCTCTCCTTTGCGCAACAGAGGAAGTTGATATTTGCGTAAATTTCCTGTTTTTTTTCGTTTTTTTCCTACCGATCACTGTGTACTCTCACAATATGTACGCGCGTGTAGTTCTAAAAATATTTCAAACGTTTATGTTCGCGCGTTTCTTCTTTCCCAGCCGAGAGCCGGCGATGAAGAAGACGGACTGGTAGACGGATAACTCGCGAGCTATAACTTACAGTCGCACAGAATTCTCCCTGATTTGCTAACTGACGATTCGCGAAAGCGTTTTTCTAGACCTCCCGCGCGCAATTTCCTGGGCAACGTCGAGCCCCCTCCTGTATTATCCGCTTGAACGAAAGTTACAAGTTTACTTACTTGCGAGACTTGATCGTGTGCTTATGTCCCTCTCTTGAGAACATACAGGAAATGAAGAAAAGAAAAAAACGAAAGCGATCTTCGAATTGCATCTCATTCCCAATTCCCAATCGAGTATAGCATGTGTTTGTCCCCTCGTATAATATGGCGGTTGTATATTTAGTTGATGGTGAGCATTCTTGTGTGCAATTTCGTTGTTATACTATAATAAATACTTCGGTCTGATTTTCTCGAATTAACGCGCGAAGCGGATTTAACTAGTTTTGTGATTACATGGGATTCTATTTATAGATAATTGGCACTGCATAATTAATTGCACACAGTCGTTTACAGTAAGGGCTTGTCTTCTTCCTCTCTAGATAACAGTTAAAGGTTAAAGGGCAAAGAATAAAATATACTATCACATCCAATATACGCTAAAGAACACTATAATTATTGATATAAAATAGTATATTTATTAATACTAGTAATATATTATAAAAAATGCATTAGGCTAGTTTGTTTTCTTTAATGCGAATACATAATTTATAGTTGTATAATTTATACATTTTGATAAAGCTGACTATAATGTAAATTAATGATAATTCATGAAGTTTTATGATTATCTGTTAGTTCACGAACCGCATAATTCGTCGTAAACGTATGCTATCAAATAAGAATTTCGTAAAAAAATTAATTTACTTCGATGTATATAACGAGAATAAATTTCCGCTTCTAACATCATTAATTTTTATTAGAAAAATATTGTGCATTGATAAATTGAAAGGATTTATTCGATATTATGCTTTGATAAATCGAGAGGATTTATTCGATAATTTAGCAAAAACGAAACCCGTGCAATATAACACAATATAAGTTGAAGTAATAATTTATTGCTAATAATTTACTTCTCCGATCTGTGCGCCATTTACATGCCACGAAGGGATTTCGATATTTACATGATATATACAGAATCATGATTCGAGAAAGTTGATAATTTTTTCTTGGATAATATTGGATATGTGGGGGTGTAGATGCAAAAAATATACGCAAGTTTTTTTTAATAATAAAAAGTCATAATTCCTCTTCTCAATTTTCGATAAACGTTACCTAATACATTTGTCCTTCTTTGTACCATATCATATGTTTAACATACGCACGAAGTAGGGCGTACGCATTCCTTTTTTATGCTCGTACACGGAGAGAATAGTGTGGCAGTAAGCGGCAATCTATATCGCATTATGAGAGTGTGGACCATGAGCAGATGAATCTTCGACAAATAATTCGCTGGATTGCATTATTAGCGATTTTGTGTACGCGCGTTAATACAATGTTTCGTGTTATTATCTATCTATACTAACATATTTAGTAGCCATTACGGTGTATTATGTTCGCGCTAAACGTTCTACCTACTGCGATGCTACGCTCCCACCTGATTTTAGAACATCATACTAGAGTTCGGTACGTGGATCTCCACTTTTATAGAATATATATAATATATTATAGAATATATGTCTTATATAAGAAAATCTCTAATCTTGTATAAGGAATATGTTATAAGCGTCTATCATAAAGTTCATAAATATTTATCGCGTCTCTCTTGATCCGTAAAATTTTCAAGATATTTTCATCAAAAAAATATTTCGTCTACTTAAAACTTTCTCCCCTTCTTAGATATTATTTACATTTTTTTAAATTAATTTTAGATAAGTCCAGAGAAAAGTAGCAGAAGATTAAAACTGTAGAATCTGTCGGACTCCAGTGTAATGTTCGAGAGTTGAAGTGTCGTGCTTGATAATTAGCAACTATATATATATATATATATATATATATATATATATATATATATATATATATATATAGTACACCTAAAACATAATTCGCATATATTGGAATACTTCGATTCCTTAATTGAATCACGTACTTTAAAAAAAAGAAATTTTAAATAAAAAAATTTTACTCCGAAAAGCGGAGAACATTAAAAACAGATACTTGTTTCTAATGTATGTAGTTTTATATAAACATACATTCGAATATAAAAAAAATATTTCAAAATCTCAATATCAGCATTGTAGTAATTAAAATATCTTTTTACAGTAATTTTTTAATGTTTCAGTGAATATTTATATCTCCAAAAATAAAAAATTTGGGGTAATTTCTTTTTCTAAAATGAATTCATTTTATATTTAATATTCAATATATAATATATATTGAATACGTATATGTAAAATATGTATAAGTGTGTGAATATTTAATATTATTATATTTAATAATATTTAATAACAAATATATCTCGATTTTTCTTTTCAATAATAATATATATATATATTCTGCTCGTTGCGCGCGTCGCCACAATATCTCTCTACGTGTGAGTGTGCACATTGCGTGCACGTCGCACACATGTCACTGTACATGTAACGCACGTAAAGTGCGTTCCGCCTCATACGTCTCGCACGTACATACATATTGAACATACACGTGTGAACTGTCACGCGAACACGCTCGCATGTACATCGATATTTATATCATCTAATAATGTAACTCTCTGCGGGAGATTTTTGTTTCACGATACGCACGTGCACGCGTGTATACACGCATTTTTGTAGATGCAGACATGCATCCTGTTCTATAATCGCGTTTGATTGTAATCACAAAACATAATTTCTTTTCCTCTTACTTTTCTTGCTTTACACAACATGATCGTGAAACGGAAACGTAAATAACGTGCGTTTGTATAATTGTACTACGGTAATATTTTAATTGTATATGATAAAGAGTGTAATAGCGATAGCAGCAGCAGTGGCGAATAGTTATAATAGCACTGTTGGTTTTCATTATAGCAAAATTCTTCTTCTTTTCTTTAGCTTTTTTTCTTTCTTCTTTACCCACAATCGCGCGTGTAACGATAAACACATTTAATTATTACAAAATCATATATATATACAAATATATGTAATGCGTATTCTTGCCATTCAACAAGATTCCCAACGATCTCCTCGATCTATGTATAAGTATGCATAGCATCGCATACTAATAATGTGTTATATACGCACATATATGTGTTTATTGTGTGTACATTTGTAGGCGTACATACGCAAATCATGTTCAATAATGATTTTCGTCGCCGTAAGAAAATTAATTACATATAATTCGCACAAGAAACGCTTACACTCGCTTGGCATATCGCGTGGAACACGTCAGTTCTTATTAGTTTTGCATTATTTAATGTGCTTGGTAAGTGCTATCTTACACGACACAGTCAATTTCATTCACTAAACGATTAAATCTATATATATATAAACTAGTTGTAACAGGCGAGACGTATTTTTATACATTGATCAAATAAGAATTCTATGTTTCGGATAATTAATATATTATTTAGTCTACCTAACAATGCGTTAATTGTCCTTTAACAAATATATTAATTGCGAAACTTTTCAGCGAGCGAAAAACTTCACTTGACTTAATTCTAGAGTTCGTTATTATCATTTTATAATTCTCTATAAATTATTTACATTTTATACTGTGCAACACAACGATATATTTGTTGCATGTAAATAATAATTCACATTCCTTCTTTCGTGTATACATATAAATGTATGTATGCATATGTACACACAAAACACATGCAAAAAACACGCACACATGCACGTACATACGCGCACGCACACACATATACATACATACATGTATTTTGTCACAAATATGCAAGAAAATATCTCTTTGAATTGTCAGTAATTCAAGTTACATCTTTGGATGTGGCCAAAAATAGATTTAACTAACACGACAGATCATAGGTGGGATCTTTTCGATGAAGGATGGTCAATCGTACATTGATTAGACTAAAACACATCATCGGTGTTTTATACAAGAGTTACTTTCAAAATAAAAATATGTACATTACAATTAATAAATATAAAATACATAGATTTCCTTTATTTATACATTATTAAGCCTCATGGTTAAAATGAGCGAGTCTGATTAACGACGCATTGACCGATCCTTGTATATATATATATATATATAGTTATGTGTATTATGTAATTTTCAAATTATTTAATATTATATTCCTATGATGCAGATTAATAATTTATTCAAGATTATTCGATATGCACGGTATAAGAGCATCTTTTTAAATTTATTTCTCTCTCTCTCTCTCTCTCTTTCTATATATATATATTTATACATATATACTGCTGAATCGATACTGATTAGGTTAATAAAACGCTCTATCATTTTTTTCACTATTACATGTAGGCAATTAAGTATCTATACCTGATGGGATTTCATGTAATATAATGTTTATCGATTTTCAATAAAAAAAAAAAAAACAGAAAAAAACAAGAAAACATACAAATCTAAGTACGTAACTACGATAAAAATTCCATCAGGTATGCCACTAATTTGTGCTTTATCGATTAAATGTGTAACAAAGAAGTACATTTTTGAGACTTTAAAGTAGCAGCCCTATCACAGTGTGGCTCGGAGTGAAGGCGATTTTTATCGATTTAAAAATGATCAGAAGTGTTTATAAAACAGACTCTATTTGCTTGATTTCTTTTTCAGGTGGTTCTAAGGGTGACGGCGCAGTTTCTATTATTTCCGGTAAGTCCTCCTCGTTCTCTTCCTCAATATCTTCGTCAATTGGCGTCAATGTATCTAATATCACAGGTAGAGTCTACAACAATAAAATAATTAATGCGATTAAATCCTAAGTGCAAACACATGTTGGATGCTATATTATAATTTACTTTCATAAAATAATCTTTATTAAAAAGAAAGAGTTAGGACAAATTATATATTTTTACCTGCGGTGTAGTGCACCGTTTCATAGCAGGGGCCATGAAACTAGTAACAGTGCTTACAAGGAAGAAAAACCCTGCCATGAAAAATGGGATGCTATAGCTTTGCGTTGCGTCGTAAACAGCGCCTGCTAAAGGTGACCCAACTATAGCTGCAGCCCCTCTGAACAGAATTAAAAGGCCGAAAGCGTTCGTTAATTTATCTAATCCCAAGAGATCCACCAAAATGATTGATGTTAACGAGATATACCCAGCTGAAAAATTATAAAATTACATATAAGGATAAAATATTAAATATATTCAAGACCAAATTTATACAAATATCACATTTTAATTAAAATCAATTTAAGTTAAAAATAATAATAATTTCCAGACATAGATATATTAGATAATTGTACGGTTAAATACTTACATATTGCTATTCCGAAAAATATGCTCATGATAATATAAGCAGCGTAACTATGGCAAAATGGTGTTGCAGCTACTGCGATTGTAGATATAATTAAGCAAATATTGTTTAACAGTAAGGAATCGACTTGCGGAAAGTCGGCGACATATCCACAAGCTACACGACCTATAGTGTTCGTTATTCCAATGATGGATAATAAGAACGATGCAGAATTGCTTTCAATTCCCTTAAAAAAAAAAATAAAACATAGTTGATCGCATAGTATTATGCAACGCGATATAATGAATATTAATAAATAACGTACATCTAAGACCGCAGCATCCACCAGATATACAAAAGGAACATATAATCCAGCCATACCAAACACATTGCTAATACCAATTAGAAGAAAAACAGGATCCTTCAATAAGGACATATCCATCATCGTTGCTAGAGCTTCCTTAAACGAGTCAGGTAATACCAAGCAAGGACATAAAGGTTCTAAGAAATGAAAATTTATGTTAGTTTTTTAAGATCGATTGAATTTTGATATCGGAAACAATATATATACATACGTTGGTCTTTCTCAATATCAATGTCCTTCATGTCACCACGTACAGATTTAGGAATAGATATAACACTTTGACGATAATTGGCGAGAGATTTCTGGCTTTGGTATTCTGGTAAATTGACTACGCTACCGCTGTAGAAAATATCTTTTCTCGACAAGGGACGGACCATCATTGGTTTTTCCTTTGGGATACTAGTTTTACTGGTAGTAAAAGTAATACTCTCACCATCCTAGTACAAATAAATTATATTATAATTATTATAATTATAATATTATAATTATTAATATTATAATTATTAAATTAAGAGAAATATACGACTAATTTGTCTAACAATGCATAAATCTAATTAACGTATTCTCTCTCGTAAGATAAAACATTCAAATCTGTAAATCTATAAACTTACATCAACTTCAGCGTTATTATTTCGCGATCCCAGCATACTGCTTGTGGAAAGTCTCAGATGCAAGCTCTTTCTGATATCTCCATTAGAATTAAGCGTTGTCCTAGAGTTTTTTATTGCACTAAGGCTAGGCTTGTAGCGCTCGCTGGTACTCGTTTTACGAATTCTATCGAAGAATGGCACAGAGCCGTTTTTAGGCAAACCTTGAACATGGGTCGTGAAAGCTGGCTGCGATGCGTTTCTGGGGATTATCGTCTTATTAAATTCATTCTCGGGCTTCTCCGCGTCCTTGGCATCTTTGGTTTCGTCGATATTCTTGTTTTTAGATTTATTCGAAATATTCTTTAAATCCATACTGCCACTATCACTAGTATGTCCACTAGAAGAGTGCTCTTGCACCTTCACTTCGGATATAGTCGGAAGGGTTGGCACCGTTGGAACTGGTGTTAAAGGAGTTCCTTTAATATTATGGGTATTCAATGAAATACTTCTTATGTATTTCTTATGTATTATATTGTTTTTTATGACAGTATATCTCTTCATATAATCGACATGATGATAATTATCTCGATTATTCGAGGAGGCGTAATTGTCATTATGAAAACGATATAAGTTACATATTTTTATTTCTGAGATAATTAAATAAGAGATAATTTTGCATATTAAGAATATTTTTTAATAATATCTTTAAAATTATAATTAATGAATTAAATAAAAATTTAATAAAAATTTAATTAAATTTAATAAAAATTCTTCCTAATTAATATTCTTTTACTTTTATATAATTTTATTAATATCTTATGTAATATATATATATATATATATATATATATATATATATATATACACAAAATTAAAAAAATATATGCTTTAAGAATATATAACATAAGAATATGCAATATCTTTTAAAATCTTTTATATGAAGTTTATATTTACTATTTATTTTGAATAACATATTATATATATAAGATTATATAAAAGACAAACGATATGATTAACTCAAAAATAAAAAAAATACAACTTAAAAAATAAAAAAAGTAATTTTTGGCTATCTATCTGAATAAATTATAATAAATTACAATTAACTTGATTTTTTTATATTTTTATGACTTATGTCGACTTCACAATTATAACAGCATATGTATACAAATCGCCAAAGAGTTTCTTACCAGGCACTAATTGGTCTAAATTGAAGCTGGAATGAACACCAGGATCAATATTGATGGGCATTTTCATTCTCTTTTCCATAGATCCGTCTGGCAATTGTACCATAAAATAAGAGCCACCGATACTACCACGTTCCATCTGAAATCTTTTCTCCTCGGCCATTCTTTGTAACAATGGTTTAACGGAAGAAGCTTTCGGATATTCCAAAGGTCTCATCATGGCACCAAATACCTAAAAATCATCTGTTAGAATTATCAGATATACGAGATATATCAGATATATCTCGATTAATTTAACGCGTTGTTGCTCCTACACAAGCAAAGTAGCAAAGCATAAGACGAGTGAGATATTTCACTGTTTACTTACTGCACAATTTAAGATGAGGCCAGCCAGGATTAAATTTGCTCCCTTCCAGCTGTATGCTTCCAGTAACATAGTTGCGAGAGGTGCGAACGCAAATGTGCCGAATCCTGACCCGCATACAGCGATACCAGTAGCTAAAGATCTCTTGGTTTCAAAATAATAGCCTACGCAAACTACTGCGGGTAGATATATCAAACCAAATCCAATTCCTAAAAGAGCAGTAGATATATAAACTAGAAAGAAACTGGCGAGGCATAAAGAATAATTGCGCAAATATGGCGAAAAAATGTAGATTCTTACGCACCTCCCATAATTCCGTAAGTCATCATAAGCATATTTACACTGCTTGAAAATGTTGAAAGTACAAATGCGGCGGCGCCTAAGAAACTTCCTGCCATACATACTGCTCTACAACCATACTTATTCGTTAAAGCACTGACGACAGGGCCTATGACAAAACAAGATTATTTATATATATTTATTTATTTATTTATTACAATTTATTTTAATTGCGCGGCCTCTTTAATTTAAATTCTGATTAAATAATTTAATTTCCTTTTACTGAGATAAAATGATTAAAAGATAAGCTTTGATTATTCTCATATATCGATACTAAAATATCTTTCAGTAATATTATATCTTCATAAACAAAATTTTCGTTAAGAGATAAGCTGTGATTATTATCATACATTGATACTAAAATATCTTTCGGTAATTATATCTTTATAAAAGAGAAAATTAACTTTTGATATAAAATAGGAGATATTAAAATATATTTTTGATAACCAATGTTTTAAAATTCACGTGATTTTGGAAATATCGTATCCATCTTACCAGCGCTAAGGTACATTCCAGATAGCAACGAGCCGACCCAAGCGGTTTTTCCTTTTCCTTCGGAAAAATATTTAACAAACTCTCCTAGAAAGACGCCGAACGTGTAGGCGATACCATCCACTATCATGTTACACATAAACGATGCAAATACCACCACCCAACCATAACCACCATCAGGTGGGGGTGGTATATCATGGTATTCGCAGAGCGAACCTCCCTCATCTTCCGGTGAAGCTTCATCGCCACCCGGTCCATCGGCTCCCGTTAATCTCGATTGTTCTTCTACAGAATATTCGCTCTCCGTCTGAAAAGAAGCATAACAATATAATTTTTATTTTTGCAAATTTATTAAATAACATTAACATTAAATATATATAAAACATAAAATAACATTTTATATATATATAATATTATATAATATATAATAACATATAAAAGATAATATATAAACAAAAAATATATATATTAAATAATAATTTTTATACTATAAAAAAGCGGTTAGAGAAAAGAATAATTGATATTAATTTCAGATTTCAGCTATTTATTTTGTATTATTATTTGTATCATATATCATAATCTTTTATATTGTTGAAATATGATAGAAATTGAATAAATTACAGCTTTCTTATTATACATCTCGCAATATAAATCTTTTCTGCTCCAATAATTTAGTACAGATAATTTTATGACACAATCTAAACTGCGAACTAATAATTTCGCAGAAAAACCGGAAAATGCATATAATTGAAGATACTGTCTTATACTTCGCAACACGAATACGTTTTCGCCTTGAATAAGACTTGCAGTTCACCTTGAATGCTCTAAGAAAAAATCTTCTTTCGTGACGATGCACGAACAAGTATTTATTTTTGTAATCGCTGACTTATGAAATGTTGTCGATTAGACTTCTTATCATTCAGATCACATACAATAAAATACGATATTGTTTCGACACATTGAAAGAAATCACACGTGGAAAGATAATTTAAAATCAAGTTTTAAATTCTCTTCACCAATAATTAATTTTTTTTACACATAATGAAAAAATCCGACAAATCGCGCATGTGCAAAAATATACTCGACTCAATGACAATGACAATTTTGTTAATGGTTCAGAAATTATCGCGGAGTGTAACATAAAAAGAATGCTATGATGATAGGATGATATCATAACGCAAATGCTAGCATATATATTAAATAGCTATTGTGAATTAATCAGTCTCTAAGGCGAGCCTGAATAATATATAGCATCACTAGAATATAATAGAATATAATATATAATATATCATTAGAATTAAATTAATAAAAAAAAAATTATTTTTAATTCAAATTGCGTTTCTCCTATAATATAATTGGATTTATCACTAAATTATTAATATATGACTCATATGAAAAAACAATAGTTAATTAGAGTGAATAATTAAAAAAAATTTTTTACTACACGCATGTTCTTTCATGAAGAGAGAAAAAGAAAGATTAATATAAATGTGTAGGTGTATTAAAACTAATATTTATTGAGATAAAAGCGATGATGGAGATAGGATACGTCGCGATAGGCTCGCTATCAGTGTTATATAAACACATTGGATAAATTAGTTTTATTAAAGGCGTTCTTACATAAACGAATATTGTTGAAAATGTACATAATAGAAAATCTAGAAACGTTATTGACATTTCAATCGAAAATTCGAATAATTTATAAAATTTATATTTGAATTTTTTATGAATATTTATAATATAAGTATGCACAATGCTTTAATAGGTAGTTTTAATATTTTTTCATTAAGATTTCTTTGTTTATATTTGTCAAATATTATATATTATAAAATTTTGTGATTCTTTTTCTGAAGCATCTTGTACATGTTATTATTTTTAAATTATTATTAATTATACTTAATCAATCATATAACAAATTGATTTTAATAATAAATAAAAATTTATTAATACAGTTTTTTGTATCTAAGATTTTATTTAATGGATTTTTCGCGAACAGATAGTGGATTTATTTAAAGCCAGGATATATTTAAAGCCAAATGCTTTGTCAAATGCTACAATATTCAATCAAATAATAATTTCAATCATGAACTTTAATAAAAAAATATATGTATGGGGATATTAATATCGAGGAGGAGAAATATCGAACAACCTACGCGATACGATTAATCGACAACATTTTAACATTTATAAGTCTTCTATAACATAATTACATGAGACTATTGAATTATGAGAATTAATAAAAGCATTTAATATTTAAATTTTGTATTAATTATTTCAGCAATCAGAAGATAAGCAATTATTTTAATTACTAGTATTTCAATAATATTAACCAAATGATTCTTCTCTATAATTTTATTAATTCTCTAGCAAAATTAGATATAATAAGAATGATAAAATATTATAAAATTATGCAATTTTTCGGTTATATATACCATTGTAAAGTTAGTAAGTAAATATTGATTTACTTGAGAGATAGAAAAGATTAGCAAAAATTATGCGAAACTGTAATATACATATCTTGTTTCTGTATATCTTACTACAAGATATATATAATTAGCATAATTAATTCCATTATTGTAGACTTGGATCAACGACTTTGCGTACCGCGGCCGCGAAGACGAATTTAAATGCAGCGTGTGTGCTCCCGTTTACGTTCGCGCGGATGACTTGGCCGAACGGAAGGTCACAGCTGATCAGCTGATCGCGCGCTGTCATTCCGATCGCGCCACCCGACGACGAGACGCGCAAAGCTCACCGCAAGAATCGCTCACGTTCACATTTGACCTTGCTGTTTTTTAGCATGGTATTACTATTGCACACACGGTATTACTATGTTACGCGCCATTATAATGCGTACACAAAATGCGTTACGGATCGTGCGTACAAATGCAATAGCGTATCCTTTCGTCACGGGCAATCGCCAGTCGACCATCAAGGCTGTCACATGTCACCTTTCTTCGTAAAGAACTTTGTATTGTGCGACTGCGCCAGTAATTATAGACGATGCATAAAAAACGATTATCATCCAACACGGCTGAAAAACTACATAAAAATGCACGCGAATAAAAATAAACGACACACTTGGATAGATTATGTAGAAATCGACAACAGAAGTACGAAAATGTAAAACACGCAGAAATGCATCGATTGTAATGTAAATTTTTTTACTCCAACAGAGTAACTTTTACGAGGAAATGTTCGTTGTTCGCAACAAAGATATGTATAACGCTTCTCCTTTATATATCTATAATGGAGTAACATGGAAGGATCTGACATTTTCAAAAAATATTCCGATACCTTTTGTACGTCTTTCAGATCTTTTTTAAATCTTTGCTTGCTCAGGCTTAGATAGTCGCTGATTACATCGCCGCATCCGGCAATAAACGAGTCACGTAGGAAATGAGATCGTTGCGTTCCCAGTATTCGGAGAAGCGGAAAGGTGGAAAGGAAGGAAGGACAGATTTTTGAATATAACCGACAACACACACCAGCACACAATTATATACAAACCGTACCGAGCTGATCTTGCGGACGCGACGCGAGCCGTACTGCGACTTGTTGAGTGACACGCGCGACATTCTACGAACCGCCTTAAACCGTCAATCGCTCTTCTCTCTCTCTCCGGCACCCTTTTTCCCTTCCTGCAGCCTCCTCCTCTCTTTTCGCTTGAAACAGCGTTCTATTTTCGAGCACGCTCGACGCGACACGAGCGACTCGGTGCCGCTCTCTTCGTTCGCGAGAGCGGCTTTATCCTCGGCAGATTCTGTGCTTCGCTTTATCGTTTATGTTTCTTCCACACTTTTTTCACTCTATCACCACTCTCTCTTTCTCTCTCTCTCTCTCTCTCTCTCCTTCCGGCCCGCCAAACCGCCCGTCTAGAATATCACTCGTCGTAATCTGCTGCCATGTCGACTACGACTGTACTACTGGCGCACTCGCGCACTCGCTCGCTTAGCGCACTGCCATCGCCATCGCGCGCAGCGCACGCCGCGTCGGTATCCGATAACTTGCTTCGGCGAGGTAGAAATGGTGGGAGAATGATCCCTCGATCTCCTCGATGCTCCAAGGAGAGCGCCCTGAGGACAAGATACGAGGATGTCCTCGATATATATCGAGGCTATATATACAATAATTTTTCTTGCAGCTGTTGATTTGTCACGCACACTTTTCAAATTTCTTTCTCTGTGCAAGTTATTTCTTTTAATATTATCTAATTCCGACAAAAGGATTAAATAAGTTTCTCCGTATGTCAGTTTTCTTCACGTGCTCCCATCTGTTCTTTTTAGTGCAAATTGTCTTTTGTCAGAAATTATTTTTCATTTTATGTTTATTTCTGTTGTGTCTTAAGACAGATTGACTGTGGATAATTTCCGCAATTTGAATTTCTTTGTCACATGTATCTTGTTCGTATTTGCTTTCGAAATATTATTTTTCCAAATTTTAATTTTCACCTTGACGATAATTGCCTATAACTTTCACAAAATTGTCTTACTGAGCTTTCTTTTATTGCCTTTCTTGAAGTTAAATTTAAAAAGAAGTTAGCTTCTCTCGGTGAAAAGATGCCAAGCAATATCCGTGACGACTGCGCAGTAATGTTTCTTCTCAAAGTGCGCACGTGCCAAGTGACTCACGTGCTGCGAACAAAAGGTGCATGTGCAATACAATGTACTCGCGATGAGCGCTTTGTCTAGTGCCTCTTCTTTTGTCGCGTTTTGTCACGTCGATATAATACACCACTTCTGTTCGGATACTTAAACTCTGTCTGTCAAGAATCAATCAAACGATTGCGAGCACTTTAGAAATGCAACGAGAATGTATTTGATGTTTTCTCGCATTCAATGCAACCCATCAAACCCAATTCTTCCAATGATAAGTTTCTGAAATTTAATAAATATCTTCCCTTCAAAAAAAAAACTCTGGAAAAAATGTGATAAAATTTTTAAAAAACAGAGAAAAACACAAATAGAGTTAAAAGAATTAAAAATAGTTTAGTATTCCTTTTTAATTTTCTTTAAGCAAATTCCGATGTATTTTCGTGTCAAAGAGAAAAATACTACGACTCGGCGTAAAAAATTATGCTTCTGTCTGTCACGGGCATCGTTCAAGGAGAATGGTTGGCGCCCGCGTATTTCACTGACGTCAAAAGAAAATAATACGATGCTCGTTTATTATTCGTTCAATTATTCAGTTTTCCCGTACTTTCATTTTCCTCAGTTTTGAATCTATTCCTTCGGGATATAATCGATGTTTCCTGTTTGTGCGTTGATCCTGATGCATCTCCTTTAAGCTTTCTGCGCAAAAGCGGTC